GTGCAATCCTAAACGAGACCTTGGCTAAATATAATGGCGTTTTGACCAGAACTCCCTAAGTGAGACCAAAATCCGAAATTTACACCCCTAAGCGAGACGACGAGCATTCCCACCCCTTTTATATGCGGAGTCCCTCCCCCGGGCTGGGTCCATTGTTCCACTATGATCATCAAGCTAACGGTACATAGTTCGCAAATCAAACAACAACAACCATGATAATATTGATAACAATGATGATGATGACGATACCTCTTTGCTAAAATATGAGGAAAACATAGTTTGTATGCTAAAAATAAAGCTCGTTTGACAAAAATAGTTCGGCCAACAAAAATATAATTTGTATGTTGAAAATAAAATCGTGAGCCAGGAATTAACTTTGTCCGAAAAACATGGTTCAGGTAGGAGGAAAGTTAATGTTATAAGGGGAAATGGAACATGTACCTTATTCGCAGGTATTTCAAATCGCGAAAATAAAGACCCGCGAAATTAAATACTCATACAGAAAATTCAAATCACGAAAAAAAAATATTAACTTGAAATAGCAACAATAGTATACAGAATACGTATCGATAATATAACTTATTTAAAACTGGACTACTACATGAGAAATTTCTGCAATTTGATTGGCTTAGAGCAGTGGTATTTCAGCTTAATTTGAAATACCTACATGTGAAAATTACAAAACCTTTGCGGGTTGTAGTATAAACAAATAATAGCATGATTTGTACGTGATATTTGGCATAAATACCACTCGTAATATTTCAAAATTGTCTCAAATTTCACACGCCTAACGGCTGGTGAAATTACGTATAACAATTTTGAAATATCACTCGTGGTATTTATGCCAAATATCACTACAAATCATGCTATTACCTATACTAACTGAGCTCTGTTTTGTATCTTCAGTACGTGAAATAACGTTAATTTATGTAGCTTTCACATATTGTTTTTCCAGTTTAAGTAGAAATTTGAAAACGTTCAGAAATTTTTTAAAAATAAAATGAAGTTGAGAATACCTAAATTGCGAAATTTAATGACCTTTTTTGATTGAAATTATTTGCGTGTCGAAATCGCGAAAATAAAACCCTGCGAAATACTCTCTCGCCAAAATCGCGAAATTAAGTATCAATAAGGTATGTGAGATTTTATATGTAACAGATGTATCTGCGCTTTGATCGCTCAGCAATCAGGATTTCCGCAAAGAGGGTCTGTGGGAAGGCTTCAAACAGAGTAAATCAATATTTTTTCAAATGTGTCTGATTTATTTATTTTTGTGAGGTGTTGGAACAAATACAGCTCTGTAAGCTAGGTGTGACCGAGGTATTGGTTTTTTTCCTCTTCCGTATTAAATTCCTGTGGTCACGTTCCACTTATAGCACTGATTTAAATTTCGTTTGGCGCTGACACGCTTTTACAGCAAAGCTGATTTACAGCGAAAGATTTCATCTTTGTCGTTATTTCAAAGTTTTTCCACAGTTCCGTAACTTCTTACTTCTTGCTCCTTAACTCTCAGAGTTCGCTCTCGAAGCCACTAGAATGCCCTCTCGAAAATTAAGGCCATATCCGTTTTCTTTTATTTTTTGAAGACAATGTCCAATATTGCCCATGTTTTTAAGATACAATTCACTTGCTTATATCGCTCTCTGTGTTTGGAAAAAATACACCTAAAGAAGTAAAAACAACTTTCTAAATAAGCGAGTCTAAAAGAAAAAGCCTCCTGCGAGAATGCTTAATTCCAGACAGTTTCCTTAGCTTTTACGCACATGCTCAATATCCAGTATTAAGCCAAGCTACGTCATTGTCTAGCAAAAGCAGCATAATTTGTGGGCTTTGTTTGTTCCGTTTGGTTCACGTTTTCCCAACTTTGAATGCCCCGTATCTTCCTCAGTGCCTGCGAATGCCATAAAAAAGACTGACTTAGGTGCAAGACAACAAAATCGTATCTTGATTTCCTCTGGTTCTTTCCAAGCAAGAAGTCTCCCACGACCATACAGTTCTCGTCGGACGATTTATTTTAATATCCGTGTCAGGAAGCCTGTTCCTTCTTTCTTGCAACGAGCAATTTCACAGCTTGGTTGTGCTTTAGAAAGAGAACAGCTTTTTCGTGAGTGACTCGTCTGAGATTAATTCCGTTGACCTACAAAATAACGAAAATAACGCAAAATTGGCATGTCATGAGCTTGGTGAACCAGAAAATAAAATGAGAAAATTAATTTATAATACTGCATTTGCTTTTGTGCGGGTACAATTTTCTAACCAACCACGTCAGAGACATGTTTTTGCTTTTTTCCAGAACGTATTTCTTTCCGTTTTGCATTCTTAAACTTTAATAACAGTTGTTTAGAAAAATCTCGCGGCAATTTTTGTGCCAATCGGGAGCCAATCTAAAGTCACTGGTGCCTTTAGCCGCACAAGATTTCTCGCATTTGACGTCACCTACATGTATCTGCTGCAAGATCTGATTGGTTCAATACATAGTCTGTTGTGATTGGTCATTGTAAGTAACTATCGGCCAGGTGAAAACAGCTCTAACCAATCAGCGCAAAGCTTGTGACTTGGTTCATGCAGTGGTTCGTTCACATTTCCCACGCTTAACTATCGCTTCCTGTTTTCCCGCCAATGGTACTGTTGCACGCGTTCGGTGTGCTCGGCGCTGTATGACACTTCGCACGAACCTGTGTGCTGTTGACATTCTTATCTATTTCGTTCGTTTGAAAGGTTGCACGTTAAACTGAGACAACAGCCGACTTTCCTCCACACCAACACTGAGTTCCCCGCGAAATGACGTTTAAGGAACGCGTGCACAAATTCCATACTGATGACGGTTCACTACCCAGATCTGGGTAGTGCTTCTGATTGGTTGCAGAAAGTTTCCAATTAGAAGCACTAACAGACTTCATTTCGCGAGGAAACCAGCTGTGGCATCGCGAAATGTCGGCTGTTTTTTCCAGCTAAATCTTGAAAGACTCAGTTCTCTGTTTCCACTATCACGCCATCAAAAATAAAAACCGAAACCATTCTTTAGACGATAAATATGCAAAGAATCATGTCTGTGCGATATTTCATATACGACAGATACTTGGGAAAGTATTTTACCAAAACTTATAAAGCTTTGTACGGAGACTCCATATTTGGTGTCCCATTGAAGGGCACAAATTTGGCGACTAGAAACCAACAAAAACATCTGTCTTTCAGTTTTTCTAGAGCTTGGGAGAACTCATAAAGATTATACTAATCTTTATTCTGAAGATAAGAAAAGGAAAATTTGAGAAAATCGGTCACATTTTTAGCCTCCACGAGGGCCTTCTCTGCCGCAGAGTCACGCAAAAGATTGGAAATTCAAGCGTCCTCTATCGCAAAACGAAAAATTGTATAAAGTAGATTGTTTAGCTGTTGTAATACCTCATGAAACTAAACAGTCAGAAGAATCGATAATTTCTTAGTTTGAATTTTGGTGACGTCATGTGAAAACCGAGAATACTTTAATTGCGTTTCTTGCGAATAACAAAACGCCGGATTTCATATATATGAATTCTAGAGGCTCGTTTTCAATGGTGACTGTGTCGGAGTCATAAGAACGGATATGACCTAGTGAAAATAGAACACTGCAGTCATTAGAACAGTCATAAGCTCGACGGGAATCAGCACGTTTTAATTTTCTACTGATCCCGCGGCTGGTAGTACTGAAGCGGAAGAACAAGCCAATTACACGCAAATCTCTTTGTCGTGTACTGTTCCGAACTGTTGCTGGTAAAGTTCTTCCGCATCTGCTTACGACTCTGGTAGTCTGGTAAGGGCTCGGAGGAAAGGGGGGGAGTACTCCTGGAAATTCTTGGGGGGGGGGTATGCCGCCCAGTTCTCAAAATCCCGGCCCTATTTCCGAACAATCTACTTCTAATTCGCTTAGTTTGCTTTCTTTCTTACATATTTGGAATTCAAACGATACACGCGTTCATACATTCCCGTAGTTCAGGAAGTTCCCTCGAGAATCGTACCCGATTCCAGACCAAAATGGACAAAGTCTATACCTGTTTTCAGACCAAAACGGCGCAAAAACCCTACCGGATGGGGCGGCACATACCTATATGGCTTATCTAAGGGAGTACCCCTCCCCCGCGGGGGCCAGGGTCTGGAAGGGGGAGTCCTGATCCCGCACTCCCGCTTCCTTCGTCGTCGCCATCCCGAAAAATGTTTTCTTTCCCAACCTCACATCGGTGCCCAAATTTTGGCGAATCCCGCTTCCCCCGGTAGCTGACAAATCCTGCATCTCGTTAACGTTTCTCGAATCCCGCGATGTATTTCGGTCCAATCCCGCATCCCGGAAACACTCATCCAAACCCAGTCTGGTGTTCACGTGGATTGTAAGCGACAGAGTAGTAAAAGGAATCGGCACTCTTATTTTTATAATAGATCATAACGATCTAGGCCTCTGATTATGACTCTTGACACCATCGCTATTGAAAAAGAGCCTTTAACAACATTGGTCACAAAGAATGTAAGGACAAAAGTATTCCCCTACTTCGAGAATTCTGTCCCCAGGGACAAGCCCAAACGCTGCGGGACCATCCGATTGAACTTTTGTCACGTAAATACTCTGTTTAGAGGGAAAAAAAACAACAAAGTGATAAACAAAAGTGTTGTGGTAAAGTTGAAATCAATCCTCGGAGACCCAGGGGCAGACAGTTGGGTTGGGGAAAATGCGGGACGAAATTTTTCTAGCATAAGCAGGAGAGTCCTTAGGGATATTCTCGTCACGCTTTTTTCCTAAGCCAACTGACTGTCCCTGGGTCTCCGAGGAGGAGGAGTTGAACCCTAGAATGAACAGACTTAGGGATGACATAGACTGTTCACAGTCCCCTATTTTTCCGTGTGATCGTCGAGATCGAGCGCGTCTTACCGTTAATGGCGGCCATCTTGATTTTCAGATGTACCGAGGGGGCGGGCGTCGGGAATTATAGCTCTAGGGAGAGGGGGGCTATTTTTCTCGCCTCCTCCCAAACCGTCCCCCCGCCCCCCTAAGTAGATTTGATTCTCTTCCCCAGGTTAGACTCGGTACAACTGGAATCAAGATGGCCGCCATAAGGTAAGACGCGCTCGATCTACACGATCTCACGGAAAAATAGGGGACTGTGAACAGTCTAGGGAAGACAGGACCATCAACTGACCCATTCAGTTGGTTAGTGCATGGCCTTCGGTGCGAGAAGTCCCGAGTTCGATTCCTGGTGACATTACATCCTTGTTTCAACTTCTCTCCTCTCTGTGTAGCTTTAACTAGCTTTAAATACCCTTACAACGGAGCATTGGTGAGAGAGGGGGGTAAAATAAGCGCTACGTCAACTTCAAGTTTATCAGACTGAGTTGAATTACTGTCACCAGTTATCGACGTAAAATATGCGTAAATGCTTTAACTTTACCTTTTTTTTAACAGTTTTTACCAAATACTGAGATACATATCATCAGACTTAAACGTACGCAAAGTAAACTTTTAGCCAAACAAAAACGTAATACAGCAGGATTCTTACTAACTTAATACACTGACTAATATAAAGATTTAGCCAGAGCTAAAAGCGAAGCTCCCGTTTATACATTTTAAATTTACTTCAGACATGGACTTAAAACCATTGCAAAGAAATCCTCAGATCTATACTTAACTTTTGGGGAGAACCATAAACTTGAGCCTGTGATCAATTAAACTAAGCTAAGAGCTAGTGATTTCGATGAGTTGGCACATGAGCCCGCAATACGGATCATGTGATTCTGGTCAGCGGATACCCTATTTTGACAGATGTCAATTTACCATAATATGGATGTCTTCAAGGTTGTCCATCCGTTCCGCCTTTCTTATTTTCTTTGCTATTTACACCTTCGTTTCTTGTCCCGAGCAGTTATGTTTGTTTCAGTTTAGTGGCGGTTTCCATTGTTTGAATTTTGACAAATTTCGTGACCCAGCCACCAAATTGAGGGAAACATAAAAAATAATCGCGCAAAACATTAAAAGAAGAAATTTGTAACACAGCCAACACAAAAGTAGGCACGGATGGAAAAACTTGAAGAAGATTAAAACAGATTGAAATTGTGGGTTTTGGAAAACTTGTTAGCCTAACAGTTTTTCAAAGTTCATTTTTGTTGTTTGTAACGTTTGATACAATACTTGGGAAGTAAATTTGTTGGACAAGTAGCTATGATTTTATCGTTAACAAGAATTTTTTTCGTAAACGTTAAGTTTCATAGCGTATAAGGAAGCGTAATTGGAATTTTAGTAACAAAATGAGCCAGTTTCAACTACAAAAACAAGTAAAAAGGTGCCCTCTCTTGAAAATATTACGGAGACATTTTTACCTTGTTATCGTTGGGATGAAAAGGATTGGACGAAGAACCAACTCCACCAGCGATGCTGAATCCAAGATTTGGATTTTTGTAAACTTCTACTTGAATCTAAAATAAACATTAAACAAATACAAACTAAAAAAGTTAAACACAAAACAGTCGCATCGGACTATCAGGCTGGCATGGCAGTAAAACGCTTAGTCGGGGTGGGGTGGGGAGCTATTGATCTTTTGTTTCGTTCTCTGTTTTATGCTTTGGTTACGAAGAGAAAAAAGAACAGAATACGAAACAAGAGAACAGTCGACCTTGACCCCACCCCTAGTCAGTGTTTTACTGCAACCATTTAAGCTGTCACATGAGCTTGCCACTTTTTACGATCAGAATTGAAATTTGATTGGAATTCGTGCAACAGGTTGTGACCTAAAGGAAGTCACTTCACAAACCATTTCTCTACAACAAAAGACACAAGACATGACCGCGGTGGACGCTTACCATCTCGAGGAGATTTTGTTTATACGATGGTGACCGTTCGTTTCGCCTACGCGTCGCTTCGCTAACGTCACGTTCGCTAACGTCTTAAGTCGTATCACTTACGAAACGAAACGAGCGCAACACATGCATACACCTCGTGCGTTTAGCTATTGGTCAGGCGAAAGAAGTTTGGGAACTGAACTGACACGCTAGCGAAACGACTTAACACGTTGGCGAACAGGACGTTTCTGAGACAATTTCTCACCAGCTCTACGGATGGGTCATTATCCACCGGTTCTTCATCATCTTGCGACGACTGCACGGATTGTTCGGAATTGCGAGAATCTGTTGAGTTGCTTCTTCTGCGAGTTGCCGTGGCAACCTGTTGCGGTCTGTGATTGTCTCCAACAACAACCTGTGTTCCATCAACTGTTGCCACCTCTCTTCGCTCCATCGCTCTCTCGCGCTGAAGCTGTCGCACCCTGTTCTCGAACCTTTGTGCATCTTCCTGCGAAATATCAAGTCTTTGTGCAACACTTACTATAGGCCTGACGCGTGCGATTGGTTGAGTGTAGGCGTTTTGTGGAGCTTTCGGTTCCGGCACTATTGACCGAACCGGAACTTCACTCAACACTTCCGGTTGTGCTGAGTACTGCGGAGGAGGCGATCGATGAGTCCCATGAGTTCCGTTTGTTATAGTTCCAGTATTAGCAGACCAAACATGATGGACAACATTTCCAAGACCAAGCGTCCTATCACTCTGACTTGTAGCCTCGTAATAAGAGGGTGGCCTTAATGGTCCTTGGACAAAACTAGGTTCTTCCTCGTTAAAAGAGTGCACATCATTTATATGCCCTGACTCTGGGGTGCCTGTGGAGTGACTCCACAGTCTACCCACTCTGGGACGACCATGATGGGACGATAAAGAGCTTGGCATTTCTTCACGGAAGGAATGCAGTGATTCCGCTGATGGTCCACTATCGACCTCTGAGGGTGGTGCAGGAGGTACTCTGTTCTCTCGTGGGGTGTAGGGAGGGGGTGGCTGATAAACAGGAGGTCTGCGGGGGTTTGGCTCCTCTGGAACAGGAGTTTGTCCCTGAAACCAAAGTGAACAACGATTAAGATCTAATTTCTCATCAAACTCCTAACGCGTGACTCGTTACGAAGTTAATGAGAAGAGTGTGAATGATCATCTAAGAAATTATTTTCCTTAGAATTATTTTTCTGCCTTCCATCTACTTAGCTCGGTGGTTCAATTGTAAGCAGTTTTCCGCGGCAAAATATTGGAAATTGAGTAATTTCAATTACGAAAAGTGGACTTCTGTTTACGGAAAACAATAATATGCTCTTGAGAATTGATCATACCAGATGCCCAATTGGCTTCCGTGTCAAACGAGATGTTTTGGTCAGCTTGATCAATAATGTCATTTAAATCTCTTAATTGCTCTCTTTTGTGATCTCCAGCTTTTGTCTCCAGCTACTCTCTAATTAGTAATAGCGGAGCTCTCGCGCGCGAAGCGCGCGCAGCGGAGCACCATGGGTAAAGAAATGTGGTAAACTACCCATCCGAGAAAATTTGGTAATCACGTGACCGTACACCGACCGCCCGACCGTCCGCACCACAGGCATACCAATGTATGTATGTATGTATGTAAATCTTTATTTAAACACGGGAAATCATCAGTTAAGCTTAAGTTAAAAACTAAAACTAATTACAACTGCTTTACATGATTGCCGTGTGGGAATCCGATATATCAGCTACCTTCTTGATATTTCGCTTAAAATGCTCAACGGATGCAGCGTTTTTTAAGTTTTTGGGCAAGTTATTCCATAACATGGCCCCGCTGTAAGAGAAGCTTCGTTTCAAATAATTGGTGTTTGGTTTGGACAGGGTCAGCCTTCCCTCAGAGTTTCTTAAGTTGTAAGCAGAGTGACGCTGAGAGAAAAGACTTTGTAGATATTTTGGAGCAAGGTCATGTATGGTTTTATACATCATTAAGGCTTTTTGTTTCTTTCGTCGAAGAGATAGCCTCTCCCAGCTGAGGGTGGAGAGAAGGTGGTTTGAGCTCGCATCAAAGGGTGATTTAGTAATAACTCTGGCTGCACGATTCTGTAATTTTTGGAGCTTATCACTCAAGTAACCACTCAAACAGTCCCAGACGGGGCTGCAGTAATCAAAATGAGGCATAATTAAAGCGTTATAAATTTGAATTGCAGTTTCTTTGGATATAAAGGGCCGCACACGTTTTAGGGCGCCTATAGCTGAAGAGACTTTCTTGCAAATCTCTTCAACGTGTTTACCCCAAGAGAGTTGAGCATCTATGGTAAGACCCAAGGATTTGGTATGATCGACTCTCTTGATAATTTGGTCATCAATTTTGATTTCTACATCGTCACATTGGGCAGATAGTCTTTGTCTTGATCCAATAATCATTAGCTCTGTTTTAGCAACATTTAGACTGAGCTTGTTAGCTTTCAGCCAACAGCTAAGGTTATTTAATTCAGGGGTTAGAGCTAGCTTAAGCTCTGTTAACGTCTTAGCAGATAACGTAAGGTTGGTGTCATCGGCAAACATTCTTGGTACGGCGCCCCGCAGGGAGTTGGGAAGATCATTAATGTAAATTAAAAATAGCAAAGGACCCAATATGCTACCCTGCGGCACGCCGCAACTGAGGGTACGAGCAGATGATAGTTTGCCACTGACATTACATCTTTGGGTTCGGCCACTTAAGTACGACGAGAACCATTTTATAGCTGCCTGATCGACACCCAAGTATGACATCTTACGCAAGATGATCTCATGATCAATGGTGTCGAATGCCTTAGTAAGGTCAATAAAGACAACGCCATTTAGAAGGCCATTGTCGATGTTTACTGACCAAGCATTTGTTGCCTCAAGCAAAGCCGTGAGCGTACTATGTAGAGAACGGAACCCTGATTGGCAACCTAGTAGCAATTTATTATCATCTAGATAATGGAAAAGTTGATTATAAACAATTCTTTCAAAAACTTTCGAAATTATAGGGATTACAGATATTGGCCTGTAGTTGTTAGGGTCCGATTTAATGTCCTTTTTAAAAAGTGGAGTCACTTTGGCTGTTTTCCAATCGTTTGGATATATCCCAGTGAGAATAGACTTTGAGAATATTGAGGTAAGAGAGGGTGCGACGATATTAGCAGCCATTTTCAACAATTTACTCGGAATCATATCAAGACCGGTGACTTTCTTTTCATCAATTTTCGACAAAACGTTAGAAACAATATCAACACTCGGAATTTGCAGAGAAAACGAATGATCAGTGGGCTTTAAATAAGACTCAGGATTAACATCGACAATAGGTATATCTTGTGCTAATACTTGCGCAACGTTTAGTTTATGTAAAATAATTCAATCAACAGGTATGGCAACCAAAATGCAACTCAAGGTTTTATTTGGAAAGAAATCGCATGGCCGCCCGGACGTTTAGAAAGAAAAAACAACAGCAAAGTCGTGTCTTTTTCGACGTTATTTGAGAGAAAGAGCTAGAGTGAGTGATTGAAAACAAAAGAGACGAATTTTGTAGGAAGAAAAACATGAAAATTCAAAGCGGCTGTGAAGCAATGAGAAATGCTAGCGGCCAGCAAGGTGAAAATGAGCGCCAGTGAAAAATAAAAGCGAAGAACACAGGAGACAAAATATTGGGTAAGCACATACGACAATTCCTCCATAAAAATAATGTGTAACTAGGAAGTCTGGCGTTTTAGTCCTACAAAACAGCGTTGTAGTTGTGCAAAACAACGCAAAAAAAGACAAAAAGCGTGCTGCACGTGCAAATTTGTTTTTTTTGTTTTGCTAATTAGAAAAATAAGTGTGCTGCACGTGCAATTTGTTTTTTGCTAATTAGATCTATTGATCTTGATGCCATTTTCATTGCCCTCTCCGTGTAGCATTACAAGATTTAATTTTTTTTTGTTTACAAGTATTATTTAAACCAGAGCTTCGCTTTTAGCCCTGGCTAAATCTATATATTAAGCATTCTCTCCCTGATTCAGATACCTTTTGGCCAGCTCAGTTCGCTTTAACGACTGTTTAACCTTACGATTTTTTTTTCTTGCACTCTTCAACGCAACAGTTGCGGTAAGGAAGGACTACCGGCGAGTTCAGTATGATTTTTATGCGATTCTGGAGTATTATTCGTTGCAATATCTCAAAAATCGGCGCCAAGCTTAAGCACCAATTACTGTCCTTGCTATTAAAGTGATAATTATAATAAAATGTTAATAACATGCCCTGTTCTAGAACCAGTAACGCTGTCATGTACAACTTAAGAAAGTGTATCTTGTGAGAAGGTATGGGCTTGTTCGCCAGTTTAGGAAAGGGAGGAAGACTGGGCCGAGGTAACTTTCGCAAAGACTTCTGGGATTGTCACTCGGGACAGTGAAAAAAATTGGCCAATAGCTGACCGGCGCGTTCCCAGTAACCATCCCAGAAACAATTGCGGTACGCAATTCGGTTCCAGTTCTCTTCTCGTTTCTAAAGTTGCGAATGAATTATTTACCCCAATAAGTCGGTCTCCAGGAAAGCTCCTCACATTGGCAGCAACTGGCGCTCTAATAACACGCTGCGGTTCACCTGCTCCATTTTCCATATCACCCGACTGGGTAATACCGTTTGATATCACCCGACGGTTACCGTTTATCGCCTGAACGTTCACCACTGGTTGAGCTCCTACGCTATAATCAGAGCTTTGCCTTTGGACTTCAGGAGTCTGAAAAATAAAAATATAGTTCACCCTCCATGTGCGACCACCTCCCACAAGCGACCACTTATCCAAACAGGGTTTGTACAGATTTTTGAATCCAAAATTCAAGGCTTTTTCCAGACTTTTTTCCAAAACAATAATTTCTTTTTTTCCAGACTGGAGGTTATCAAGTAGGTGAACAATACAGTAAAAAAAAAGCAGGAACAAAACTTTTCTCTCGAGGCCGCTGCAAACGTACGGGCGAGATTGAAGAAGATTTGACCAAAACGAAAAAAAAAAAACACTTATGAAGCTCTTAGCCATTTTTTAACCATTTTTCCAGACTTCATCTCTATTTTCCAGGCTTTTTCCCAGGTCTGGAAAATACCTGCCCAAATTTCAAGACTTTTTCAAGAATTCAAGACTATGTACGAACCCCGTCCAAAGCACCAAACATTTCCAAGACAAATGCTTACAGCTGGAACCTCTCGTAAACGACCACCTCCTGTAAGCGACCGCTACCAGTTTCTGGGGCGGATGGTTTTATAATTTTCTGTTGTTTTTAAGCTCTTGTAAGAGACAACTTGATGCATTGTCTGATCTATATGCTCGCTGTGTGTACTGCGCTAGTCAGAATGTATGAAGTATACGAAATGCTAGCGGTAAACTGCTCTGTTGAACAGGAACTTCACATCAGTGAAGGTAAAACTCAAGATCAGCTATAATCCTAGCTTGAATTTCAGACGATTACTTCGAGTCGATTTTACTCCCTCAGAACTGAGGGAGTAAAAACGACTCGTAATAGTCTGAAATTCAGGCTACTATAATCCCCGAACTATACCTACTTCAAAGACCTACATTTAAGCATAACAAAGTGTGTTGTCTGCTAACTACCGTACGGTAAGGAAAGCACACAGGCACACCAACCTGTTCCTCATACCAGGGAACTTCAACTGTACGCACCTCTTGGGGTCTTAATAGCTGCGGTTCATCTCTGTGTTCCACTGAATGCACCACAACTGCCACTGGCTGCCGATTGCTCTCCTGTTGACTCTGTCTTCTATTTGATTCTGGAAGCTTTGTAAAGGTAGATTTATTCCTTAACAAACTTATTACAGCTGTACCTAGTTCACAAGCACTCTATTTTTCTCAATTTTTCCCCATGATTACTCCCTAGAAAGATAAGCCTTTTTAAGCGCTCTCTATTTTTAGCCTGAATTTCAGACGATTACTTCGAGTTGCTTTTATTCCCTCAGTAACTCAGTTACTAAGGGAGTAAAAAACTACGACTCGAAGTAATTGTCTGAAATTCAGGCTACTCTATTTTATCATTAATAGCAAAGGAAACTTAGAGAGTGAAGAAGCCCGTTCACAGAGTGATCGTTGAGTGCGCGTATAAAAATTAAAACCGCGGGGATTCATTGACCACAAAAGCAAGGGGGTGGGAGTGGGGAAAAGGGAAAATAAACAAACACGAGTACACAGCCCAAGGAGGTGGATGTGGGGAGAGTGCTTGATCCATATACCACAGGGTTCCTTAACGATTCGCTTTGGTAAATGCAGCCAGTTCTCTCATAGACTTTGTGGCAGGTGTTACAGTCGAGCCAGATCAAGCGAACCGCGAAACATTCTACTAATGAATCTTTCATTTGCAAGTTGAATCCGAATGTAGTTTTTAGATTCATCCCTGCATTGGTAATGAGTAGTGAATTCACACGCAAAGGTTAGGTAGTTCTGAAATTTCTGCCTGCTCAATCTTCTTGAATTTGATATAGATGTCTTCAAGGTAATTTCTTCATTCCGACGACTTTTCAATCTGACCGCATGCTGAGAGTTTGCAGCCAAACAATTCACTGCTCATTACGCATGCAGGAATGCAGATTTGAATTTAAATCCCGTTGCGGGAACGACTAACAGATTCTTCCTTCATAAAATCAATTCATGAATGGAACCTATGGGGGTACGCTTGACCTGGCTTGACTTCGAGGAGGGGAAAAAGGGAACGCCTGAAAGGACGCTATTGTTTTCACCAAACTGCCCCCTTCTCGCGCGGCCCTAGCGTTCTCCAACGCAGCCGTTTTTGTCTCGTCATGCAACACCCCTCCCCAATAGACCAGTCTAAGTGATTACTATAAGTATTAGTTTAAACCTTGTGCTGGGTGTTGATAAGTCATTCTCACCGAGTGCAGGTTTCTGTACAGGTAATGGTATTTAAACTGGTGCCGATCTTGCTGGTGACACTGGTGCTGAGATGGTGGTAAGACAGGTTTTGTTACCTCTATATCCTGTTGATTCTGCTGCAGATGATGCTGCTGTCGCCTGCTCGCGAGATATTGGGCTGCGCGATCTTTTACATCTTTTGGGTAAGGAGACTGGTACCTAGCTAACCGCGACTACAAGAGAATTTGCATGCCATCTGTTAGCTTACATAAGCCTCTGAATGCATCCAAGTCTCATTACTGAAAGGCCAAATGCAGCCATAAAAGCTTAGCCGAGTATTTGACTATTAAGGGCTGTTTAGGAATTACCGCTTCCTTAACTTCATCTTACTGATATAGATTCCCAAACCTACGTTTTTGGAGGGTACGTCTTGGCATGGGAATTTGGCTTCCCCCTACTACCGTCCTGTTAACCATTTTTGTATTTTTGTTCGATTGTATTTGTTAGTATTAGTTCATTTGTATCAGTTATGTATGGTTACGAACTGTGATTAAAGATTAAAGATTAATCATTATAATAATCCCCTCCCCCTCTCCCTCTCTCATTGGAAAGTGCGCGCAGTTGGCGAAAAATTTTTTAGCAACATGATAAGCCCTAGTTTTTTCTTGAGTAGGTGGAGCATGATCGTCCGGGTGCAGTGAGCGAAGTCCTAAATAGAACTGTTGTTGACATCGACTATTCAGGACTACGTTCATCCGAACGATCATGCTTCACCTACTTATGAATTGACTAATGGGTTCAAACCTTTCACACTAGTTTTTTCCTAGCGACGCGTTTTTTATAAACGTTATGAATTATTTTCTGCATGAACTAGGTGAAAAGGTGTCATGTTTGCGTTTTACAATCCCTGGCAGCTTATTCATGATCAAAAGACTGTGTGACACGGTCTGCAGCAAGACTGCTTTCCTCAATTGTGATTGGTCGAAATTGCTCCCGTGAATCTTTGCAAACTGCTGTCCAACCTTCCGTGGTGTGACACAAGATTAATAATGACAAGAACATTTTTTGACATAAATGTCTCTTACTAAATAGTCATCTTCATCAATGTTGAAGACGATTGAAGATCTTTGCCTAATTTGTTCTTCCAGCAGAGACGCCGGGACACTGCCAGAATCTTCACTGTTTAACTGATCGGAAGATGACACTAGAAAGAAAAAAAATTGAAAGGATTAAAAGAAACCGAGTAGGTCAAAGAAATGCAGCGAGAATCCACAAAATATTAAAAAATATCCTGAGACTATGCTCCTCGGTGGAGAAAATAGGTAAATAACAGGGCTAACAGCGCAAAAAAAAATCGACGAGTGAAGCAAGCTGACTGGTGAACTGGGGAGTAGGAAAGCGGCCCTTCCTCTCCTTAGTCCCCCGCTCGGATTACCTCTTAAACGAAGAAACTGTACCTTCATCAGTAAGAGGTTGCTGTGGAAACATGAAGCAGGTTAACACATGTGACTGAGTTCGATGATCGAAGTCAGACTGCAGCGGGACCATGGGCTTGGACTAAAATTAAACAAAGAAAGATGAGTAGTGTAATTGAAACTAGAGGATGTCTAAGACGGCCAGAAATGACGGTCTGCATTACCTGATTTTCAGAAAGCCATAGCGCTTTTAAATTAGTCAGCTTTCGAAAGGTATACGGTAGACATTCCAATCTGTTGATTTCAAGAAATTAACAAAATAGATGAGCAAGTAGAAGTAGCAGCCTGGAGATTTTCAAGGAAATTTCCTTTCGTACCCTGATATTACGGACTTTTGTTTCTATAGACTTTAAAACCCCAAGGGGACTACTCAACAAAGTTTTATAAGGAGAGGCTTTTCCCAGAGGCCCACCTCATAACCTTTTATATACCATTATTGGCAGAAAAGGGAACTACTTTTGTGTAACTTCTACTGACAAATGGTACACCTTTCAACTAGTTTACAGGGCTTTTACTGACATTTCAAGTTGCTGGGTAAATACAACAAGTAGGCGAAGAATCCAACAGCAAGTTTTCTTTTGGTTCTATTTTTCTTCATTTTCCTATGAAAGTAGCTGGGGGCCATGTTCTTAGTAGCCGGCGCAGATCCCCGGCCCCCGCCTCTGAATTTAGAATGTTGCGTCCCTCTAAACTAATGTAAATGCCCCGTCTTTTAAATATGAATAAATTACCGAGCCAGAAAGTTTCCTTCTTTTTCATGGCCATAAAATGCATCTTTGTAGCCTTTTGAGGTCCATTTACAGACCGCAAAGACAAATTTTTAATAATATCTATCCTTTAACATTATTTAACTTGTAAAACCCCTACCCTTTCATATATCTAAAGCCTGAAAAGGTATCCCTCCACTCCCCCTTGGGAAGAGCTTCCCCACAGAGGCCCCCACAGGCTTTGTACCCTTTTTGAACAAAAAAATTCAGGCACTTTTCAAGGACTTTTCAAGGACTTTCAAGGACACATTTCCCATTTTTTCAAGGACTCCGTTCAGTGCAAAAAATAGCCTTGAGTCTATGTCCTTTTGGTTCTTCCACAACGTAAGTAATTTTATCCCAAGGTCTTTCTGTGTGTGCTCCTTTTTCTTTGGAGTTCTACTTAAACTATTATGTTAGCATTGAAATTCAAGGCTTTCAAGGACTTTCAAGGTGCTTGCGAACCCTGCCCATACAGGGAGTATACCACCCCCCCAACCCTCAAGAGGACTATAACTCACGGTCAAGAGGGTGTTTAAAAAAAGCAGATTGATTGTACCAGAAAGTGGAAAATAAATCTTCATAAACTGAAACACTGACCTGTTACATGCTAGGTTAATAACCTGCAGGTTTGGCATGCGACCAATATCATCAGGAATTCTTACAATTCTGTTGTCCCGTAATGACAGTATTGTCATGGATGTACAGCTTCCTAACTACCAGATAAAACAAAATCTTTCAAGATTTATATTGCCATTGCCACATGCAAATATGTTTAACTACAACCCCAGACAAAATAGTTGGAACACTTGGTCGATTTCCCCATCCTCTCCCTTCACAAAGTTGAAAAATAATACCCTACAACTGGGGCCGGACGAAATCTTGCTTTCCCTGAACAGGGTGCATGCGAAATAGATAATGTGAGGTAGCGTTCAGTAAATGCCTGGGGTATGTTAACGTTATTTTAAAATGAGGAAGACCTGGATAACTTTGCCGTGACTTTGTACAACTGTTTCTCTAAAGGCATGCCTCAATCAGGCCAGAGGATACGTAAAAAAAAACGTTTTAAAAAATGGGAGGCAAAAGTAGCCTGCAAACAGGTGCCTAAATGGAGTGGGACAAAAAAGAAAATTGGCAAGTGAAACAAACCAAGTGTAGCCTCCACTTAGGAGCCTGTTGGCAGGCTAATGCAAATATTACATGGCATTCATCCAGTAAATAAGAGTAAGGCGCCATTTTAATACACACCTCTAACGGAATACCTTCCAGAAAGTTTTCATCAGCATACAATATCTGGAGTTTTCTTAAAAAACCAATGGATGCTGGTAAACTCTGAAAAGATCAAAACCTTCAATTGCACACAACAGTCAGAGGTATTTTAAATTGGAATGATCTCTGAGTTATGTGAGTTTATCTACTGTTTTTCCTTGAAGAATAGCTGTCCCTTGATTTACTGCCTCCCTCGAATAATCACCCCCCTTTGACAGAAGTATTTAAAATAATCGCCACCCCCCCCCCCCCCCCCCCCCCCCCCCCACCCCACTCCCCTGCTCCCCACCACAACCCCCACCTACAACTCATCCAACGCAGAATGTTTTTTAAATTGGAAAGGTATCTTAGTTTTTTTGGTTTATTCACTTTTTTTTCCTTGAAAATAACTGTTCCCTTTTTTTCCCCCCCCCCCCAAAAAACCCCCCCCCTTTAAAAAAATATTTAAAAAAAACCCCCCCCCCCCCCCCCCCCCACCCGCTTCCCACAACTATAGGTAACTTGCCATCGATACCCATAGCAGTAAATCTGGATGAGGCTGAAGAGGAGCCTGATCCAGCAAACTGATCGGCGATGATGCCAAGGATATTAACAATGAAAATTAATCAAGGAACCAAATTTGAAACACTTAAAAAGCCCATGCTCAGTTTCTTTGATGCAATTATTTTTTGATTTAATTAATGGGAAAATAGAACAACATATTTAGGGCATGACTTCCAGTGAACAATATATGAAATGATGGCCCCCCTCAAATAATGGCCTTCCCTTGGGGGCAAGTATTCGAGGAAATAAGGTATCTTAAAGAATCAAACAAGGGACATGAGCAACAATAACAATATTACAATGGTTAACAACATGAGTCTGCAAACTGAACTTTTTCATTTACCTACACAAAATTTCAAACAGTGGTACAACCCAACCTAACCAAACTTGTTTTGTCACATTTTAATGTGGTAATAGTTATTTTCAGTGGAATTTTTCTTTGCTTTTGATTTGATTTTGGACACTCATTATACCCAAAGGATTCAACAGCACAGAAAATACTTCACTTTTTACCTCAAGTTCATTGTGAATGACAACAAGCTCTTCAAGATTGGACAATCTATGAATTAAAATACACATATTTAGCAAATATGTTTAAACAAACTTCCAGCAGACTTGGAAGTAATGAAAAGAAACTATTAATAGTACCTTCCTATGCTATCTGGAAGTTCCACAAGATGGTTTTCATCTACTTTGAGTGTCTGTAAGTTTCCTAATGCACCTGCAAAACACAAAACATTGTGGTTAAGAGTTAATTGGGGATTTTGATTGCATAGAGCTTCTTTCTAAAAGCTACAAATTCTGGGAGCAGATTGCACATTCAGCATTCTACTAGTCTATTTTCAGCCAGGATCAGCTAAGCTCCCTCCTTCTGCATTCACGTTTTTGACTATCAACTCATAAAAAGTATAGGGAAAGAAAGCAGGAAAAATTGTAACACTAAGACTGCAATCGGCAACAATACTGTTTAGACATTGATAGTCAAATAGGGTAACTTCAGAGAAGAAAACAATCCACACCCCTCCCCCCTCGACCTTCCATTCAAAGTTAGGGTGTTTTTTGTTTTCTACAAGTAGCTCAAACAGCAGAACAACATTGCACGGAGGGGATGGGGGGACTTTTGAAGTTGGTAAAATGTTGGAAAGGCCTTTTAGGGCAAAGTGTCTCAACTAATTTTGTCGCCAATTGTAGTCTCCTTTTGCTACTTGGCAGATTGAAAAAAATCTAAATTACAAATTAACAAATTACACACACCAATGTTGTTCGGTAGTTCAAGCAACAGGTTGTTGGACAAGTAAATGTCTGTAAGAGACTGAAGGCATTCTACTTCAGGAGGAAGCCGCTCCAGTCGATTTTGAGACACATCAAGGTATAAAAGCTGTCTCAAAAGTCCTATTTCCTGGACAAAAAAAAAGAATGAAAACAGAAGAAAGAAACCATTAGAGTTTCACTGGAACCAAAATGTCAAGAAGTGCCAATCTGCAAATGGGTAATGGGTTTAAGAGTCAGGGGCAGATTTAAGGGTATGTGATAAGGGGAGTCGAAACTTTTGGGTGTGTCTTGATGTCGCAGAAACTGTTGTTGGTTCTCTATTGTTTCATGGCATCAGGGTAGTGTTCATTGTCATTTCAATCTTTTGTACTAGTCATTTGGTGGTTGAACCTGTCCACAACACACCAAGAAATTACCAAACTTTTTTAAAAGGTTGAGGGTGTTTTCCCTAGGTAACAATTCCAAACTTCCCCTCTTTCATGTATTTTACAAACTGCTAAACCCTATAAGCAGGAGAGGCAAATTTGGATACCTTCAAACTTAAATGACACATTTCATAGTTAAGAAGTGAATTGCCGCACAAAGTGGCCTGCTTTCGTTCACATGATACCTTTAAAGTTGGTGCTAGAAATATCCTGATGTGATCTAAAATAGAACTTCTTCAGCATCAATTTAGCAGAACGTTCAGTTCACATGTTGCCATTCTTTAGGATTTTACAAAATTAACTGATTTAATTTAATTTAATTAAAACTACAGTACGGTTGTTTTCAACTTTGATGTTTGCTGGTTTTTATAACCAGTCTCCTTTGACTATTAACTATGCCTGCAACAATGAGTTACAAAACAAGTTCATTGGGACAGATTTTAAAATTAAAAACAAGTTTCTGCTGTAAACTTAACATACCGGTGGAAGTTCTCTAACTCCATTGCTATCCATCCAGAGTTCCTTAAGGTTAACCAAATACCCCACAACTGTTGGCTAAAACAAAGTAGAATGAAAGTCACCTTCAATGTGCCTTTGACAGGTTAACAATAATTAAAATTACATAAAATAGTTATGGTTTGATGATTAGTGTCTGGTGAAATAAATTTATTGTGTTATGTAGGAAGACATGAAGAAAGATATTTTCAACTTATCAAGATTTTGTGATTTAAAGATGGGAAGATACAAAGAGGGGCTGTAGATACTGGTCACACTCAGATGGCATAGAGCCACTGTTATGTACATGTTATTATACTACCACTTACTAGTTCAAGAAATTCATTATTCCCAATATCAAGTCTTTCTAGGCTTGTAACATGAGAAAGGGACCTTTAAAAAAGAATCAAAATTAACCTCATTCAGCAAAGTATAAAGAAACCTTCAAAAGAAGGAATCTAGAGTGTGTGACTACGAGCAACTTGGAGCATATCAGGATGTCACTCATGAGTTAAAAGAAATGCAATGAATTACAATAAAGTTCAGATATAATGCCCACTCTTATTGGTTGGAAAAGTTTCCTTCATGAGAGTATAAAACATGCCACTCTGGTTCACTTTAAAAATAAAGTTTGCTTTATAAAAAGTTGAAAAGCAATGTGTTGGGAATTTAACCGGTTCTTCATCAAGAATTAAATAAAGAAGCCTCTGTCATCTGTGCTTTGCTCTGTTGTAAAGCACTAAGGAAGCAGCTGGAGCACTCAACAAGTGGTGAGAAACTCTTTACTGTGTCTTGTGTTTCCCCCTACACTTCGTTGGTTCTCAGTTGTGTTCTTTGTGCTCTGTTGTAAGTGCTTACAACAGAACAGAGCACAATTAAAGCTTCTTCATTTATTTTGTTAACTAATAATCATACCCCATGGGTGGTAAATTTCCAGACACTCGCCTTTCTACACAAACCTACTTTTCTACACCACCCTGCAACTACAGAGAGGCGCATTACTGGAAAAACACCCTTCAGTTTTGCATGGCACTACAAATGCAGTTAACTGAGTTTAACATATTACTTACTCTGGTAAACTTCTTAAGTGATTATCTCTCACTTCAAGAACTTTCAGTTTTGTTAATCTGACAAAAAAGAGATTAGATCTTATATTTAATACTCACAGTGATGATATGAACGCTACGCTGGATAAAATGAGCTAACTGGAGAACATTTTCTTGGGGCATGTTCGATTGCCGTATTTTGAGGACTAATAATAAATGAAATAAACTGTAGAAATCACTTGGAAGGGCATTCAATGGATATCCATACAGATTTTCAGATTCAGATTTTTTGGTTTATTTGCACTATAATTTTAAGAGTTTACTACAAAATAAAATTAAAATACATTATAAAAGTAAAATAAAACAACATTACAGTAAATTACCTAAATCATCAAAGGTAAAAAGCGTACCGTGACCAAAAGAGCTTAGACTTTCGAGTTGGTCACTGTCATGCGTAACTAACTGGCACACTCAGTGTAGTGTATAATGGAGACAGGAAAATTAAAAGTGCATAAAGTCATACTTACAATTTTATATAAAAAAAACAATAGAAATGATAATTGATAGTGAGGGCAGAGAAATCAAATTCGTGTATCTAAAAATAATCTTGCAAAATAAATACAGCCGTCTCTCCTCATTCCTCGCTACTGTGGACTATGTCAGCCATGAATCAGAGCTCCTGACCAGATTCCATTCTGGACAGATTTTACATAATGAGCGTGAAATTTCTAGTGCTGAGGTGCAGACACCTCTCCCATGAAATGTCCCTGCTGGCAAGAAGTGAGGAAACAGCTGTATTGGCAGGCAATCTGGAAATTTGTTATACGTATAATATTTCAATGAACATGTATGTTAAGAGTTTAACCCTTTGATGACTGCTTTGGTTGTTTTCATTCCATATGGAACAATGCATAACTTCCCTCCTGGACCCATTTTGCTTTCAGTTTAAGTTAATAAATTGGCAAGCAACAACATCAGCAAAGATAGTTCTTTCAAGCAATATCTTGTTTTTTTAGCCATTCTTATGATAATTAGCCAAAAACTAGTCCAAAGAAGAGGAATTGGTGAAAAATGAGGTTTTCTCGCTACTTGCCGGCGGTCACCAAAGGGTTAAAGATCCAAGAAGAGATTTGTACCAAAACTTTTGAGATCTCGTATTGCGGAATACTATCAATCAAACGCACCCTTAGTTACCAGTATTTACTATCACTACTTAAAGAAAGTAACAGTTGTCAGAACAAACCATTCCAGATTGTTGTTTACTAAGCAGGCAAATATTCCTCAAAAAATTAATCTCACCTTCCAAAATTTGATGGTAAACAATCTAAAAAAGCATCATTCAAGTACAAGTGGGTCAAATTCAACAACTGAGTAAAGCTATCTGGAATTCTAAAAACAAAAAAATATTATATACCATTTATCAAATTGAAAAAAAAATCAAATTTTATTCTTACTAATCCCCCACTTCAATTGATTTGAACTATCACACGGCCTAATATTTTATATGACACAGTCTGGCCTGGGTGATGTTCTCTGGGTTGCAATTTTTGGTTGAGAAATAATATGGTGATCGATTTGCGGCTGTTGGGATCCCTGTGAATACATCCCATGGGGACAATATCGAGAAAGGCAGCCATTTTCTCTGTTATGCAAATTCACCCCAATCTCAAAGTATATGTTGTAGTTAATTTTTTATCTCAGGTAATTTTTGTTTTTCTTTTGTTTTTTTACCTACTTCAAAGACCTACATTTAAGCATAACAAAGTGTGTTGTCTGCTAACTACCGTACGGTAAGGAAAGCACACAGGCACACCAACCTGTTCCTCATACCAGGGAACTTCAACTGTACGCACCTCTTGAGGTCTTAAAAGCTGTGGTTCATCTCTGTGTTCCACTGAATGTACAACAACTGCCACTGGCTGCCGATTGCTCTCATGTTGATTTTGTCTTCTATTTGATTCTGGAAGCTTTGTAAAGGTAGATGTATTCCTTAACTAACTTATTACAGCTGTACCTAGCTCAAAAGCTCTCTATTTTTCTCAATTTTTTCCCATGACTACTCCCTAGAAAGATAAGAGTTTTTGATCGCTCTCTATTTTTAGCCTGAATTTCAGACGATTACTTCCGGTCGTTTTTACTCCGTCAGTAACTCAGTTACTGAGGGAGTAAAATCTAGGACTCGAAGTAATTGTCTGAAATTCAGGCTACCCTATTTTATCATTATTAGCAAAGGAAACTTAGAGTAAACGCAAATGAAGAAGCCCGTTCACAGAGTGATCGTTGAGCGCACGTATAAAATTAAAACCGCGGGGATTCATTGACCGCAAGAGCAACGGGGTGGGAGTGGGGAAAAGGGAAAATAAACAAACGCGAGTACACAGCCTAAGGAGGTGGGTGTAGGGAGAGTGCTTGATCTATATCCCACAGGCTTCCCTGATGATTCGCTTGGGTAAATGCGGCCAGTTCTCTTCTAGAACGCGCGGCAGGGGTTACAGTTACCTGATCCCCAAGATTCCAGTCATGAATCTATCATTTGAAAGATTAGTCGTTTAATGGTTGTAGATTCCAGATTCATCCCTGCATTCCAGCATTGGTGACGTGCAGTGTATTCACACGAGAGGTAGCTCTGAAATTTCTGCCTGCTAAATTTTCTTGAATTTGATTATAGATGTCTTCAAGGCAATTTCATCATGCCGAAAACTTTTCAACCTGACCGCAAGCTGAGAAGTTGTAGCCAATAATTCACTGCTCATTACGGTGCGCATGCACGAATGGAATGCAGCCTTTCAATTTGACACCCGTTGTGGCAACAACTAACGGATTCATCTTTCATATAATCAATTCATGAATGGAACCTATGGGGGTACGCTTGACCTGGCTTTACTTTAAAATCGGGCGCGCGAGACAGCGAGAGGCGCGCGAGGAGGGGAAAAAGGGATCACCTGTAAGGACGCTATTGTTTTCACCAAACCGCCCCCTTCTCGCGTGCCCCTCGCGTTCTCCAACGCAGCTGTTTTTATCTCGTCATGCAACACTCCTCCCGAAGAGATCAGTGTAAGTGAGTATAAGTATAAGTATAAGTATCAGTTTAAACTGTGTGCTGGGTGTTGATAAGTTATTCTCACCGAGTGCAGGTTTCTGTACAGGTAATGGTATTTAAACTGGTGCCGATCTTGCTGGTGACACTGGTGCTGAGATGGTGGTAAGACAGGTTTTGTTACCTCTATATCCTGTTGATTCTGCTGCTGCTGCTGATGCTGCTGTCGCCTGCTCGCGAGATATTGGGCTGCGCGATCTTTTACATCTTTTGGGTAAGGAGACTGGTACCTAGCTAACCGCGACTGCAAGAGAATTTGCATGCCATCTGTTAGCTTACATAAGCCTCTGAATGCATCCAACTCTCATTACTGAAACGCCAAATGCAGCCATAAAAGCTTAGCCGAGTATTTGACTATTAGGGGCTGTTTAGGAATTACCGCTTCCTTAACTTCATCTTACTGATATAGATTCCCAAACCTACGTTTTTGGAGGGTACGTCTTGGCATGGGAATTTGGCTTCCCCCTACTACCGTCCTGTTAACCATTTTTGTATTTTTGTTCGATTGTATTTGTTAGTATTAGTTCATTTGTATCAGTTATGTATGGTTACGAACTGTGATTAAAGATTAAAGATTAATCATCATAATAATCCCCTCCCCCTCTCCCTCTCTCATTGGAAAGTGCGCGCAGTTGGCGAAAAATTTTTTAGCAACATGATACGCCCTAGTTTTTTCTTGAGTAGGTGGAGCATGATCGTCCGGGTGCAGTGAGCGAAGTCCTAAATAGAACTGTTGTTGACATCGACTATTCAGGACTACGTTCATCCGAACGATCATGCTTCACCTACTTATGAATTGACTAATGGGTTCAAACCTTTCACACTAGTTTTTTCCTAGCGACGCGTTTTTTATGAACGTTATGAATTATTTTCTGCGTGAACTAGGTGAAAAGGTGTCATGTTTGCGTTTTACAATCCCTGGCAGCTTATTCATGATCAAAAGACTATGTGACACGGTCTGCAGCAAGACGGCTTTCCTCAATTGTGATTGGTCGAAATTTATCCCGTGAATCTTTGCAAACTACTGTCCAATCTCCCGTGGTGTGACACAAGATTAATAATGACAAGAAAATTTTGACATAAATGTCTCTTACTAAATAGTCATCTTCATCGATGTTGAAGACGATTGAAGATCTTTGCCTAATTTGTTCTTCCAGCAGAGACGCTGGGACACTGCCAGAATCTTCACTGTTTAACTGATCGGAAGATGACACTACAAAGAAAAAAAAATTGAAAGGATTAAAAGAAACCGAGTAGGTCAAAAGAAATGCAGGGACAATCCACAAAATATTAAAAAATATCCTGAGACTATGCTCCTCGGTGGAGAAAATGGGTGAATAACAGGGCTAACAGCGCAAAAAAATCGGCGAGCGAAGCAAGCCGAGCAGTGAACTGGGAAGGAGGAAAGCACCCCTTCCTCTCCTTAGTGCCCTGCTCGGCTTACCTCTTAAAGGAAGAAACTGTACCTTCATCCGTAAGAGGTTGCTGTGGAAACATGAAGCAGGTTAACACATGTGACTGAGTTCGATGATCGAAGTCAGATTGCAGCGGAACCATGGGCTTGGACTAAAATCAAACAAAGAAAGGTGAGTAGTGAATTGAAACTAGAGGATGTCTAAGATGGCCAGAAATGACGGTCTGCATTACCTGATTTTCAGAAAGCCATAGCGCTTTTAAATTAGTCAGCTTTCGAAAGGTATACGGTAGACATTCCAATCTGTTGATTTCGAGAAATTAACAAAATAGATGAGCAAGTAGAAGTAGCAGCCTGGAGATTTTCAAGGAAATTTCCTTTCGTACCCTGATATTACGGACATTTGTATCTAAAGACTATAAACCCAATGGGACTACTCAACCAATTAAAGTTTTATAAAGGAAGGCTTTTCCCAGAGGTCCAACCCGATAACCTTTTATATACCATTTTTGGCAGAAAAGGAACTCCTAGGGCTGTTAACCCCCCACGTCATCAAATATTGAGAAGGAGCAGGGAAGGAATGATATATGACGTCATATCGCGCGACAAATGACGTCATTTGTGCCAAAAATGCTCGTTGATTCCGATCGACGAATATAGCACATAAACAGTTCATAGTTAGCCACATTATTGCTTAAATTACAGTGGCATATCAGAATTTATGGCCAACGTTCCATGTTAACAACGTTCCATGCTGAGGTCCATTTCCAGACCGAAAAGACAGATGTTTAATTATCTATCCTTTAACATTATTCAACTTGTAAAATCCCTACCCTTACATATACCTGAAGCCTAAAAAGAAATCCCCCCACCTTGGGCGGAGCCTCCCCATAGAGGCCCTTAAAAGGTTCGCACCCTTTTTTGAACAAAAAATTCAAGGACTTTTCAAGTACTTCCAAGGACACATTTCCCATTTTCTAGGACTCCATTCAGAGCAAAAAAAGAGCCTTGAGTCTAGGCCTTTTTTAGTTCTTCCACAACATGAGTAATTTTATCCCAAGGTCTTTCTGTGTTTGCTCCTTTTCTTTGGAGTTCTACTTAAACTATTAAATTAGCATTGAAATTTAAGGACTTTCCAGCACCGACTACATTTTTCAAGGATTTTCAAGGCCTTGAATTTTTGTTTCAAATTCAAGGACTTTCAAGGTGTGTGTGAACCATCCCCATTTAGGGAGTATACCACCCCTGTCCCCAAGGGGACTATAACTCACGGCCAAGAAGGTCTTTAAAAAAAGCAGTTTGATTGTACCTTAAAGTGGAAAATAAATCTTCAGAAACTGAAACACTGACCTGTTACATGCTAGGTTTATAACCTGCAAGTTTGGCATGCGACCAATATCATCAGGAATTCTCACAATTCTGTTGTCATGTAATGACAGTATTGTCATGGATGTACAGCTTCCTAACTACCAGATAAAACACAATCATTCAAGATTGATATCGCTGTTGTCACTTGCAAATTTTTAACTAGGTGTAGAACAATTCACCCTAACAATAAATTATGTATTTGCCCTGCAGGGATTTTCCTCCTCTGAAGGGGCCAATGATAGACCATAAGTGGTCATCCTTCTTTCCTCAGAGCCACACATGGCAAGTGAAAAAAGTGAAACTATGCAAGTTCATGGAAAAGAAGGAGGAGAGATTGGGAAGGAGAGAGGAAAGAGGATATTTCCTTCGCTCTGGCTTCTGCCCTGCCGCTCTCTCCTCATGCACGCTCTTGATCTATAATTGTGACTCAATGGACTCACACAAAAAATTGAAGACTGGTTGCAGTCTAGGTCAATGAAGTCTGCAAAGTTTACTTACAACCCACTGAAAGTACTTATAGTTGAATTACCCAGTTGGAAAACCAGGCCCTAGTTGGGACAGTGCTCGCCACCCAAGGTCTTATCATAAGGTCTGGATGACCGGGCCCTCCCCTGCATTATCTAAAGGTCTGGATCTCCCACTCTGATGGCAGGCTAACACAAACGTTGCATGGCATTCATCCAGTAAATAAGGGGAGGAAAAGAAAATTGGCGAGTGAAGCAAACCAAGCATAGCCTCCACTTGGGAGCCTGTTGGCAGGCTAACGTAAACATTACATGGCATTCATCCAGTAAAAAAGAGTAAGACGCCATTTTAATACACACCTCTAAGGGAATACCTTCCAGAAAGTTCTCATCAGCATACAATATCTGGAGTTTTCTTAAAAAACCAGTGGATGCTGGTAAACTCTGAAAAGATCAAAACCTTCAATTGCACACGACAGTCAGAGGTATTTTAACAGAATGATCTCTGAGTTATGTGAATTTAATCAAGGAACCAACTTTGGAACACTTAAAAAGCCCCTGTTCAGTTTCTTTGATGCGACTATTTTTTGATTTAATGGGAAAATAGAACAAAATATTTAGGGCGCGACTTCCAGTGAACAATAATATAAGAACATTATTAAAATAATGGCCTCCCTTGAATAGTCGCCTTCCCTTGGGAGCAATTATTTGAGGAAATACCGTATCTTAAAGAATCAAACAAGGGACATAAGCGACAATAACAATAATACAATGGTTAACATCATGAGTCTGCAAACTGAACTTTTTCATTTATACAAAATTTCAAACAGTGGTACAACCCAACCTAACCAAACTTGTTTTGCCACATTTTAATGTGGTAATAGTAATTTTTACTGGAATTTTTCTTTGCTTTTGATTTGAGTTTGGACACTCATTATACCCAAAGGATTCAACAGCACAGAAAATGCTTCACTTTTTACCTCAAGTTCATTGTGAATCACAACCAGCTCTTCAAGATTGGACAATCTATGAATTAAAATACACATATTTAGCAAATATGTTTAGACAAACTACCAGCGGACTTAGATGCAATGAAAAGAAACTATTAATAGTACCTTCCTATGCTATCTGGAAGTTCCACAAGATGGTTTTCATCCACTTTGAGTGTCTGTAAATTTCCTAATGCACCTGCAAAACACAAAACATTGAGGTTAAGAGTTCATTGGAATTTTCCATAGAGCTCCTTTCTAAAGGGTACAAATTCTGGGAGCAGATCGCACATTCAGCATTCTAATATTCTATTTTCAGCCAGGCTCAGCTAAGCTCCCTCCTTCTGCATTCACTTTTTTGACTATCAACTCATAATTAAAGTAAGGGAAAGAAAGCAGGAAAAATGTTAAAACCAAGACTGCAATCGGCGACAATACTGTTTAGAGACTGAACTCAAATCGGGTAGCTTCAGAGAAGAAAACAATCCACACCCCTCCCCCCTCGACCCTCCATTCAAAGTTAGGGTGTTTTTTTGTTTTCTACAGGTTACTCAAACAGCAGAACAACATTGCATGATGGGGAGTGAGGGACTTTTGAAGTCAGTAAAACATTGGAAAGGCCCTTTAATGCAAATTATAAAGTGTCTCAACTAATTTTGTCTCCGATTGTAGTCTCCTTTTGCTACTTTGCAGATTGAAAAAAATCTAAATTACAAATTAACAAATTACACCCACCAATGTTGTCCGGTAGTTCAAGCAACAGATTGTTGGACAAGTAAAGGTCTGTAAGAGACTGAAGGCATTCTACTTCAGGAGGAAGCCGCTCCAGTCGATTTTGAGACACATCAAGGTATAAAAGCTGTCTCAAAAGTCCTATTTCCTGGACAAAAAAAAGAATGAAAACAGAAGAAAGAAACCATTAGAGTTTCACTGGAACCCAAATGTCAAGAAGTGAAAAATCTGCAAATGGGTAAATTGTGTCAGAGGCAGATCTAAGGGTATGTGATCATTGGGGGGGGGCAAACTTTTGGGTTTGTCTTGGTGCCGTGTCGTGGAAACTATTGTTGGTTCTCTTTTGTTTTATGGCGTCAGACTATTTGTTCATTGTCGTTTCAATCTTTTGTACTAGTCATTTGGTGGTTGCACCTGTCCACAACACACCAAGAAACTACCAAACTTTTCTCAAGGTTGAGAGTGTTTTCCCCAGGTAACAAATTTCCCCTCTTTTATTTATTTTACAAACTGAAAACCCTATAAGTGGGAGAAGCAAATTTGGACATGTTCATACTTAAATGACACATTTCATAGTTAAGATGTGAATTGCTCCACAAAGTGGCCTGCATTGGTTCATATGATCCCCTTAAAAGTTGGTGCAAGAAATATCCTGATGTGGCCTAAAATAGAACTTCTTCATCATCAGTTTAACAAAACTTTCAGTTCACATGTTGCCATTCATTAGGATCTTACAAAGTTAACCAATTTAGTTTTTTTTTTAGAACTGAGATATTTTTCTCTGTCTGTTATTCTTAAAACCTACTCATAGCATCCCTTAACCTGCAACACAGTTATTAAAGTGGAATGGTTATGAAACCCTTTACACTCCTTTATTAGTTTTTGTTAGGTTTTTTTGGACCTGAGTGTGCACAACATTCAATAGCATTCCTATCATTTTGAACTTGCAGACCAATAGAAACATCACATTAATTTATTCAGTAACAGTTTGTAAACAAAAAACAAAGGTCTCAGCACAGTCATGGAACTTCCAACATTGAAACTACAGCACGGTTGTTTTCAACTTTGATGTTGCTGGCTTTCACAACCAGTCTCCTCTGACTATTAACTATGCCTGCAACAATGAGTAACAAAAAAAATTCATTGTCACAGATTTTAAAATTTAAAAAAAGTTTCTGCTGTAACCTTAACATACCGGTGGAAGTTCTCTAACTCCATTGCTATCCATCCAGAGTTCCTTAAGGTTAACCAAATACCCCACAACTGTTGGCTAAAACAAAGTAAAATGAAAGTCACCTTCAATGTGCCTTTGAGAGGTTAACACTATTATCAAAAGTACATAAAATAGTTATCGTTTGATTATTAGTGTCTGGTGAAATATATATATTTTGTTATGTAGGAAGACATAAAGAAAGATATTTTCAATTTATTAAGATTGTGATTTAAAGACGGGAAGATACAAAGAGGGGCTGTAGATACTGGTCACACTCAGATCATGCATAGAACCACTGTTATGTACATGTTATTATACTACCACTTACTAGTTCAAGAAATTCATTATTCCCAATATCAAGTCTTTCTAGGCTTGTAACATGAGAAAGGGACCTTTAAAAAAGAATCAAAATTAACCTTATTCAGCAAAGTATAAAGAAACCTTCAAAAGAAGGGATAGAGTGTGTGACTACGAGCAACTTGGAGCATATCAGAATGTCAGGCTTGGGTTAAAAGAGATGTACAATGAATTATAATAAAGTTCATATATAATGCCCACTCTTATTGGTTGGAAAAGTATGCTTCATGTGAGTATAAAACATGCCACTCTTCTTCCCTTTAAAAATAAAGTTTGCTTAATTATAAACGTTGAAAAGCAATGTGTTGGGAATTTAACCAGTTCTTCATCAAGAAAGAAATAAAGAAGCCTCCATTGACTGCGCTTTGCTCTGTTGTAAAGCACTAAGGAAGCAGCTGGAGCACTCAACAAGTGGTGAGAAACACTTGACTGTGTCTAATGTGTTTCCCCCTACACTTCGTTTGTTCTCAGTTGTGCTCTTTGTGTTCTTTTGTAAGTGCTTACAACAGAACAGAGTATAATCAAAGCTTCTTCATTAATTTTGTTAATTAAAAATCATACTCCATGGGTGGTAAATTTCCAGACACTCGCCTTTCTACACAAATCTGCTTTTCCATACTACCCTGTGACTACAGAGAGGCACATCACTGGAAAAACAAGTCCCTCAGTTTTGCATGGCGCTACAATGCAGTTAACTGAGTTTAACATATTACTTACTCTGGTAAACTTCTTAAGTGATTATCTCTCACTTCAAGGACTTTCAGTTTTGTTAATCTGACAAAAAAGAGATGAGATCTTATATACTCACAGTGATGAAATGTATGCAATGCTGGATAAAATGACCTAACTGGTGAACATTTTCTTTGGGCATGTTTGATTGCTGTATTTTGAGGACTAATAATAAATGAAATATACTGTAGAAATAACTTGGAAGGGAATTCAATGGATATATCCATACAGATTTTCAGATTCAGATTTTTTTATTTATTTGCACTATTTTAAGGGTTTACTACAAAATAAAATTACAATACATTACAAAAGTAAAAACAAAAAACATTACAGTAAATTACATAAATCATCAAAGGTGAAATGTGCACAGTGACCAAAAGAGCTTAGGCTTTTGAGTTGGTCACTGCCATGTGTAACTAACTGGCACACTCATTTAAGTAGTGTATAATGGAGACAGGAAAATTAAAAGTGCATAAAGTCATACTTACAATTTTATATAAAAAAACAATAGAAATGATAATTGATAGTGAGGGCAGAGAAATCAAATTCATGTATCTACAAATAATCTTGCAAAATAAATACAGCTGTCTCTCCTCACTCCTTGCTACTGTGGACTATGTCAGCCATGAATCAGAGCTCCGGACCAGATTCTGGACAGCTGACTTAATCTAATCAGCATGAAATTTCTAATGTTGAGGTGCAGACATCTCTCCCATGAAATGTCCCTGCTGGCAAGAAGCAAGGAGACAGCTGTATTGGTGGGCAATCTAGAAATCTGCTATACGTATAATATTTCAATGGACAAGCACGTTAAGAGTCTAACCCTTTGATGACTGCTTTAGTTGTTTTGGTTCCATATGGAACAATGCGTATCTTCCTTCCTGGACCCATTTCGCTTTCAGTTTAAGTTAATAAATTGGTAAGCAACAACGTTAGCAAAGATAGTTCTTTCCACCAACATCTTGTTTTTTTTAGCCATTCTTATGATAATTAGCCGAAAACTAGTCTAAAGAAGAGGAATTGGTGAAAAACAAGGTTTTCTCGCTACTTGCCAGCCGTCACCAAAGAGTTAAAGATCCAAGAAGAGATTTGTAACAAAACTTTTGAGATCTCGTACTGCGGAATACTATCAATCAAACGCACCCTTAGTTACCAGTATTTACTATCACTAGTTAAAGAAAGTAACAGTTGTCAGAACAAACCATTCCAGAGTGTTGTTTACCAAGCAGGCAAATATTCATTAAAAAAGTAATCTCACCTTCCAAAATTTGATGGTAAACAATCTAAAAAAGCATCATTCAAGTACAAGTGGGTCAAATTCAACAACTGAGTGAAGCTATCTGGAATTCTAAAAACAAAAAAATATTATATGCCATTTATCAAATTGAAAAAAAATCAAATTTTATTCTGACTAATCCCCCACTTCAATTGATTTGAACTATCACACGACCTAATATTTTATAGGACACAGTCTGGGTGATGTTCTCTGGGTTGCAAATTTTGGTTGAGAAAAAATATGGTGATCGACTTGCGGCTGTTGGGAGCCCTGTGAATACATCCCCTGGGGACAATATCGAGAAAGGCAGCCATTTTCTCTGTTATGCAAATTCACCCCAATCTCAAAGTATATGTTGTAGTTAATTTTTTATCTCAGGTAATTTTTGTTTTTCTTTTGTTTTTAGGTATGCTAATGTATGCTAATGAAGTTGTAACAAAAGAAAAGCAAAAATTACCTGAGATAAGAAACTAACTACAACATATATATTGTGGTTTAATTCTATCCTTGGTTTAAATTTTATTTTCTTTGGTTTCAAACTCATTATCATACATTACCATGACCCAAAACTTTCCTTTTATTTTAAATTTGGTTCCTATTTTAACTTGGTGTTGTATGTATAAGTGTAGAGATGGTTTGTGCATGTAGGTGTATAGTTACTTTAATACCCAGTGAGTTAAAGAGAAACTATTTGACTATTATAGCTTAAAAACTTAAGGAAAAGGCATTTTGTTTATATCTGATAGGAATTAAATTTGATTGCATCAATGCAGAAAAAAGTATTTTTAATGTCCTTGTGGTCTAGAAAAGAAATCATTTTGATGCTTATTAATTGGATTATGTCCAGATTTCTTTGTCAAAACGTTACAAGTTGATTAGCTTTCAAAGTGCCTTGGAAGGCTACAGTATCAAATTTCAAAACTTATCTTGGGAGAATCTGATACGTCTATCTGACAAACGGTTGATTAACAACAGTTTTCATAAAATGTTCAGTCTGATAAGGTAAATTGAAACGAAAACAAAGACGACAACAGAACAAACATTGACACTATAAAGGAGAGCTTTGTATAAGCTTAAAATCGCCATACTTACTTGCCAATTGGGTTTACGCTAGCATCGAACTGTTCCAAACATTTGCAGCTTTTCACACTTTCCGGCAAATCGATTATACCTACAAGAATTAAATCGGCTTCAGGTTTTGTAAAGCACAAAGTCGGGTGAATTGTAAATATCTGGTTGATAATCATGCGTTAGCTTTGCGGTTGTTGAAAGTTTTCGCTTTGTGAAAGAAAAGTCAAAACAAACGAATCTCTTAACTCACCATTCTTGCTGATGTCCACCTCTCTCAAGTTGACTAAGTTAGAAACAGCTGATGGCAGAATTGTTAACTCGTTGTCACTCAACCCGAGAATATGTAAACTTTGCAACCCAAACAACGCCTGAGGCGAAAAAAAATGAAAACATTCAGAGCTTTAAAATTACAGATGCACGTTGTGAGAGCTAAATTTGCTTTCTAATAGCAACCGGTTACAGAAATAAACTTTTGATTGGTAAAAAGAACTTACTCTCGGTAATTCCCGAATTTGATTAGCATCTAGGTAAATCTCCTCCAAGTTTGGCTGAGCTTTGAAGATGTCTGTAGGCACTGAAGTTAAATTGCAGTGCTGCAAATCTAAAACAGCCATTTCACCATCACCCTCACATTCCACAGAGAAACAGCTTTTCAGTCCAGTCCATCGCCGCATCATATATCCTTATAACATGGCAGAGGCGTCTAGAGTTCCAATTTTCCCAGCATGGATGCGCATATAACTTCCGTTTGGTATTCTGAAGTCATTTTGCTGATTGTTGACGAAATCCAAAGAGGAAAACTTTCAGCTTTCCGCTGGTAATTCACTCAGTACAGCAAAGCAAACAATCGTGAAAAGTTGTTCATGAAACGTACTTCTGTAACAAGAAACGTTGGCAATTACTTAAGTAAACACAGAAGCAATGACATGACAGTTGCTATCTCTCCTAAAAAATACTTTTCAAATCAACAGTAATTTTGTCACGGTGCAATTTTTGTTGTCAAAATAAATTACTTCAATGTAGAAGCGATGCACCAGTACAGTTACTAGTAGAACGAAGCCGACTTTTACACTCCTTCTGATTGGACAAAGTACAATGCGATTGTCTGTACAACCAATCATAATATTTACATTCTAAAAGAGTGTGGGGGGCTCTTTTCTCTGTAACGGGAAAAAAAAGAGCGAATAACTGTTAAAATGTGATAATTGTTTAATTTTGTTAATGGCTCATCAAAACCCATGAACGATATCGTACGGAATTACTGGTGTCCGCGGGAAAAAATGAGAGTTAGGAAATTTTCTCCTTTGTCCTTCTTGCTTTTGTCCGCTACCCCCCTTAATTTTTGCGGTCTACTTGGTACGTAGCAATATGCAAGATGCAAGGATTTTTATTAAACTATAAAATAATCCCTTTCCTTGAAGTTCGATTCAAATGCTTTTATTTTCAGTCACGTGGACTGTTCAGAACCTGGGTATCCTGTGTCCAAAAAAAAGTTTAAAACGTGACTGGCGTGTATCCTGTCATATCGCTCTCATACCACGACCTACGACCCCGTAGCTGAGTTCCGGCTGGAGAAAAGCCAGATACACAGGGAAAAATCCCCAAAGCTATCTTTTTGCATGAGAGAGTCTAATTAAATGGGTTAGGAGACTAGACGTTTTAATCATGACAAGGGCGAGGGCCCAGGGGCCCCACTCACATATTTCAATGACTGGGGGGTCTGACAGAGGTTCATATTTTAAACCCCAAAAAATCCCAACTTCAGAATTTGTCTACCCAAAAAAATCCCTACTTTTTTAGCATACCCCAAAAAAAACCCTCAGTGTTTTTGCATCAGCAAATTTTATTATTTATCTTCTGGAAAGCTAGAACATGCCAACTTCAACTTTGGTTTTGGTAAAAAACAAAACCGTGAAAACTATAAATTGCGCTTATGTTGTTGTTGATTTGAGCTGATGAAAAATACAATACCCAAAAAAATCCCTGTGTTGTTTTCGCGACCCAAAAAAATCCCGGCGTCTTTCATAGACCCAAAAAAATCCCTTTTGGCCAAAATGTCAGACCCAAAAAAATCCTTCGGACCCCTCCGTCATTAAAATATGTGAGTGGGGCCCCTGGGGGCGAGGGGAAGGGAGGAGACAGTTTTTTTTTTGCCGAAGTTAATCAGTAGCCTGTGTACAGACGTCCCCCCTCCCTCAGATTTTTTCTGAGGGAGGGGGGACGTCTGTACACAGGCTATAAATCAGGGGCCCTTTCGGCGAAATAAAGGATCATAAAGATGCATTTTAATTTTGCTTCAAATAAAAAAAAACCCTTAGAAAGGAATTCGAAGAACTTTCTATAGTTTTATACACCTCTTTACGAACACCGATCTTTTTTTTCGGATAATAGGATTTCTGCATATGGTAGCCCAGAGCGCTCAACAGTTACACAAGAATCATTCCCGCAAATGGACCGGTTATTTTGACAGCCGGAAATACTGATATTTTCGCAAAAATTTGCCAAGAAAAAGTGCCCGAAAAGTCGACATCTGCATACAATTTAAAATGTCAACTTCCCAAAACCACCTCTTTACGAACACTGATCTTGTTTTTTTGGATAATAGATTTCTGCAGGAGGGGCTCCTGATTTCTGCATACGGTAACCTTGTGCGCTAAACAGTTTCGTAAAAGGACCGGTCATTTTGAAAGTGAATAACAAGGATTTTTCGCAAAATTTGCCAAGAAAAAGTGCCCGAGAAGTCAACATCTGCATACATTTAAAATGTCAACCTCCCGAAACCGCCACCTTGCATTTTTGGGACAGAAGAAGGTGGACGTTGTGGAGAGTAACATGTTTATTGCGAGTGCTTATTCGCCGGATAAAAATTCGCCAAAATCAGCTAGAGACTTTTCTCTCGTTGTTTAAAAATGATTAAAAACAAAAAAATCTAATAAAAGCATTCTTAACTTACTCTCAGTCTGAGGTATGTTCTAAAAAAATTCCGCCAGAAAAGTGTTGTATTTCAATCTGTAACATCAAAGATTGCCGTAATTAATCGTCCACACGCACGCCATACGCCAAACATTTTAATTTCGTGACCATTCTTGACTTTTTCGTCAGTCACTGCAAAAAACTGGCCATTGTCGACAGGTTAATTATGACAAACTGTTACATTCTTCAGACTAGATACTGACATATCCTCGTGTGCGCTGATGCCGTAAACGCTTGTAAGTACTGTCCTAACTTTGAGGAATAAAAGTGGACGGGCTGAAAATGGCTTAATTAAACTGCTGTTTTATAAGTCACCACTTAAAATTTCCCTCATAAATTTTCAACTGTTTTGATTAAGAAAATGAATTAACGACAACTATGGAAAAGTGGATGAAAGTGAAGTTAATCGAAACGTCGTCATATCCAATATAAAAAGACTTGTTTGCTAGTCACCTGATGTGTCACGTGATCATTTCTCTGGAATTTGTTTTGCTTGCCATTTAGAAGGAAACAGTGCTCAGATATATTTGTTACAAAGACAAATAAAAATTCTGAAAAGCTGAATATATGAAAATCATATCTTAGAATTGCGAATAAAGAATTAAACGTAAAAGATCATAGCAGTCGTAGACACGGCAACTTTTGCAGATGCGAAGTGTTCATTTCAGTATTAGACTGAAACGCAACACATCCATAAATATTATACTTGAATATTTTTTTGAGTATGCAGATTAAGCAATAAACATGTCAAAAATGTGGGCCAAAAAAGAAAACTGCCAAACATAATGAAGTCCTGTAAGGGAAAAATATGTTTTTGACTGATGGGTTTTTAACTCGAATTTCACAAATTAATTAGAATTCATGACGTTATTAATTTTTCTATTATTATATTTGGTTTATGACTTGTTATAACCTGTTGTACTCAAATGTTAAATGCGAAACGATCCTATGGATCAAGCAATATCTACGATGACAGCGAATATTTCTTCGTTTCTCCAAGCTCACAAAACAAGCATACTTGGCGCAGCTGCTATCGGAAGTTTAGCACTGGGTTTAGGTGTTTACAAGCTCAGCGCGCGGACGGGTAAAGTTACTCCACGCGTGTACGATCCAGCTATTAAAGATGGCTACATCCCACTAGCAGATTATCCAGATATGCGCCAGTATAACAACCTAATGGCAAAGCATCTGACGCCAAGGCTGTACGCTAAACTTCGAAACAGGAAGACGGCCACTGGCTTTACTTTGGACAAGGCAATTCAAACTGGAGTAGACAACCCTGGACATCCTTTTATACTAACAGTAGGCGCTGTAGCAGGAGATGAGGAGTCTTACGAAACTCTTGCTGAACTTTTCGATCCGATTATCGAGGAGCGCCACAATGGCTACAAGAAAACAGATTTGCACAGAACAGATCTTGACTCGTCCAAGATTCGCGGAGGAAAGTTTGATGGGAACTATGTGTTGTCTTCTCGCGTGCGTACTGGAAGATCGATACGTAGGTTTAGTCTTCCTCCTCACTGCTCCCGCGCTGAGAGAAGAAAGGTTGAAAAAATTGTTACCCGTGCATTGGCGGGACTAACAGGTATGATGTTAAACCCGTTAGACCCAGGGATGGGAGGAATTTTAAAATACTGCCATTGGCCTATAGCTATACTCTTTCAGAGAACAATTAATAGAAGAAGCGTCCCCCAGGAGACAAAAGGTTGTACTACCAGAAAGTGATGAGAGATTGATTTAAAACATCCCTTTATTATATACGTTTTTGAATATACTCAATAGACGCTTTCACGTTTTCTTAATCTGAATTTTAACAAGAAACAGTTAGCGAAAAAAAACCCACCGACGTTGCTGGAAAGAACAAGTTAAAAATTGGTAAACTTGTTGAGAGTTTTTGGCGGTCAGAAACTAGCGAAAACGGAAAATCAAGCATTCTGTGGCCCTGCAAATTCGCGAAATTTTAAAGACGTCTCTTACATAATTATGTAATAATAATATTAAAAATATTAATATTAAAATAATAAATAATATTATGTAATTATTATAATAGGGTATTTGCATTAGAACCCGATCACGAACCAGTAAAATTGTTTAGGACGACAATTGTACTAGAAAAAGAAATATTGTGATAATTTTTTTTACCTGGCAATGGTGACTTTTGCCCAACTGGCACGTTTTTTTTATCTTTTGCACCTGAAATTTTCCTCACTAAGTCGAGAATTTCCATTTTTTCTTTTATTCCCTGTTTTTCTGTGTTTAGTTGGTCAATTCGTAAAAAAGTTTTTTAACTCCCCTTATCATTCAAGTTTGCAGTTTCGTGGATTTTCATCGCGGTTTCGCGTTTTTCTGTGATTTATTTGCGGTTTTNCAGGGATGGGAGGAATTTTAAAATACTGCCATTGGCCTATAGCTATACTCTTTCAGAGAACAATTAATAGAAGAAGCGTCCCCCAGGAGACAAAAGGTTGTACTACCAGAAAGTGATGAGAGATTGATTTAAAACATCCCTTTATTATATACGTTTTTGAATATACTCAATAGACGCTTTCACGTTTTCTTAATCTGAATTTTAACAAGAAACAGTTAGCGAAAAAAAACCCACCGACGTTGCTGGAAAGAACAAGTTAAAAATTGGTAAACTTGTTGAGAGTTTTTGGCGGTCAGAAACTAGCCAAAATGGAAAATCAAGCATTCTGTGGCCCTGCAAATTCGCGAAATTTTAAAGACGTCTCTTACATAATTATGTAATAATAATATTAAAAATATTAATATTAAAATAATAAATAATATTATGTAATTATTATAATAGGGTATTTGCATTAGAACGCGATCACGAACCAGTAAAATTGTTTAGGACGACAATTGTACTAGAAAAAGAAATATTGTGATAATTTTTTTTACCTGGCAATGGTGACTTTTGCCCAACTGGCACGTTTTTTTTATCTTTTGCACCTGAAATTTTCCTCACTAAGTCGAGAATTTCCATTTTTTCTTTTATTCCCTGTTTTTCTGTGTTTAGTTGGTCAATTCGTAAAAAAGTTTTTTAACTCCCCTTATCATTCAAGTTTGCAGTTTCGTGGATTTTCATCGCGGTTTCGCGTTTTTCTGTGATTTATTTGCGGTTTTTAATAGGCATCAATTGTCCCTTCTTCCACGTACAGCCGAAATTCCACTGCCGGAGTGATATGGCTGTGCGCATGCGCAAGGTACTGGTAGGTACTGATAGGTGCCCATTTAAATAAGTAATACTATGCGGTAACAGACTATTTGCATTTTTTGACAACACGTTTAGGTGATCTGTCGGGTCGATACTATCCACTCAGTGCTATGACCGCAGAAGAACAACAGCAGTTGATCGATGACCACTTTCTCTTTGACAAACCAGTCTCCCCGCTTCTCACGTGCGCGGGCATGGCACGGGACTGGCCTGACGCGCGCGGAATCTGGCACAACAATGACAAGAACTTCCTTGTTTGGATAAACGAGGAAGATCACACGCGCGTCATCTCGATGGAGAAGGGAGGAGACATGCGCTCGGTGTTTGATCGCTTTTGTCGTGGACTCAATGAGGTTGAAAGACTCATCAAGCGCCAGGGACATGAGTTTATGTGGAATGAACATTTGGGGTACATTTTAACTTGCCCCTCTAACCTCGGAACGGGACTTAGGGCCGGAGTGCATGTGAAACTACCACTTCTATCGAAGGTATTTACGATAATCATCCGACTTGCATAAAATCAACTTTTTAACTGTGAATACTGCAATCTAACTAAGAACGAGAGAGAGATCGAAGACTAGGTCGTCTTTATTGACAGATAAAGCGTACAACGCTATCTTGTCCCCAGATCTCAAACATGATTAGTGGCCTGATATTCCTGGGTATTGACTCCAATCGCTTCGCGCAGCGGATTATCGAAACACCACCATTCTTTTCTTGCTTCCGATGGATTGAAACATACTGCTGTGCAATAGAGTACCGAAGTGTGACGTCATAGAAAATGAAATTTGTGAAATTATGGGATTTGTTAAGATATTCTGAAAGAACAACGTCCAAGACGCCTACTCGCCAAAAATTAGTAATTTGCGGCAAATTGTCTCTGAGATATTAGCCCAGTTATGCTCCGATGACTCCATACAAATCCTTCTAAATCTTACCTGGTTCCTAATCTTATGAACCAAGCCAAATTTAGAAGGATTTGTATGGAATCGTCACAGCATAACTGGGCTAATATCTCAGAGAAAATTTGCCCCGAATTGCTAATTTTTGGCGAGTAGGCGTCTTGGACGTTGTTCTTTCAGAATATCTTAACAAATCCCATAATTTCGCAAATTTTATTTTTATGACGTCGTCACTTCGGTACTCTATGCCCTCAGCTCCTTGTCTATGTTGACGACATCTGAACATAGAAAGGACTAGCTTTTTTCTTTCCACTTGATAGAAACAGTTCCTTTGATTACATTTCTTCACACATGTACCAGAAACGTCAAAACTATTGATCAGCTCTTGTGAGAAGTGTAATCTCTCCTTTTTTTGTCCAGAATCCACACTTTGATGACATTCTCGAAAAGTTGCGACTACAGAAACGTGGGACAGGTTCGTTTTCTTATTATTGTATCTGACTTATTTGTTGCAATCTCTAACGAAAAACGAGCATGTATACACAGTATACACAGTAATTTCTAGGGAGTTATTATAACTCCAAAAATGGAGTAAAAATTTTAGATACAGGATAACCTTTTTGCGTGGTTACTTTAACTCCTCAGTATTGACTCCAAATCTGGGGTTGTTTTTACTCCTGAAAAAGAGTTCTTTAAACTGCTTTTTGGAGTTAAAATAACTCAGAAAAAAATAACTCCACTGTACGGGAGTTAAATGAACCCTACTAGAGAAGTTATCAAAACTCCTTGAAAATTACTGTGAAATTTTAACAGGCATAAAGGATTTCCGCCTGTCGGGCCAACAATCGTCAATAAAAACAAAGGCTTTCACCTCAGCAAGAGAACAGGCGTTATTTATTTACTATTCATCATTTTTTACGTTCTTCAGGCAAGGGAAGGTAAGCGCAAGGTGGAAATGTCTAGCATTCTACCCCCACCTTGCCCTTGTCGTCGTAAAAATGCAAACTGAAAAACCTAGGCCTGTTCTGAAGGCTACTTGAGACGGAAAGTCTGTACAGTGAGTGTAATTAGGAGTTATTCCGTATCTTAATCCAAAAACTAACCGTACTGTTCTAAAAGAAAAAGGATGAACTTTGATATCGAAACTCCCCAACTTTCCCCATCCAACCCTCCCATGGATGAGGCAAAGGTTGAACAATGTTGCAAAAATGAAAACATTATCGCCTGTTTCAGCATCGCATTCTTGTTCGCATCTGATCTAACAAACGTGCCTTTCTCACTTGATATGAAATTCAGGTGGTGTTGACACTGCAGCCGAAGGAGGCGTTTTTGACATCTCAAATTTGGACAGACTTGGATTCTCCGAGGTAGAGCTGGTCCAGAAAGTCATCGACGGCGTCAATCTTCTCATCATAATGGAAAAGAGACTGGAAAACAACAGACCTATGAACGATCTCCTTCCTGGACAGACTCTTTCATGACCAGACACGGACTGGATAGTACAAAAGCGATTGAACGGACATGAAAAAGAAAAAATAACATTGCAGTTTTTCGTGGCAGTTTTTGCTGCTTTACGAGGGCAGATAACTGTATTTTATTACTATGTGATGCCGACGTAACGCGTGCAGGTCACAAATCTCTCGTTGCATGCACGATGGCATTTATTTTTGTCGCATGCGCTTGTTTCCTTGGCAACCAGTGTTCTACACCATAAACAAGACGATGTTGCATTCGAGAGTGACACTGCCTGTTACCCGCGGGTTTCATTGTGAACAAAAAAGGCTAATCACATTGTAAATAAATAACATTGACTAAGAAATATTTTGCCACATTGCTAGTATCCGACACAGCAACCTTTAATCTCAGAAAAGTAAAAAATGATTACCGTGAGTACCGCGAATTCCTCCAATCCGTTGAACCCCCCCCCCCCCCCCCCCCCCTCAAAGGGGGGGTTGGGACGCGGCGGGGTTTCAGAAAAAAAAAAAACAGGGGGTGAGGGGAGAATAAAAAGACAGTGTGTAAGGGGGGGGGGGGGGGGGGTGTGTTTGGGTATACAGTCACAAGAAGCGCCA